GGTACGGTCACGGTCCAAGGTGATATCGAACGTTTGAGGTTGCGGGTTCAAGCCCCGTCCCGGGCCAGTTCTTTTATTCCAGAATGTTCTAAATTTATTTATTTAATTATTATTTATTTAATTATTAATTTAATTAAGAGATGGCGCCTAACGCCTACCTCTAATTGTCAAATTACTTAGTTCCAATCATTTAAAATAGCCATATTATAGCCCGATAATTAGGCGATCGTTTGGTGTTGTTAATAGAATGATGTTTTTTAGGTATCTCAATGTAAGCTTGGAAAGATCATTCTACTCAAAACATGGAGGCAATAAATTTATATGCATCCTTAACTTGCAGCTGTTACTCAGCTGGACATGCAAATTTTTACTGCTCTGTGTGCCTTGTATAGTTAATATGCAAATGAAGAGCAGTAGAAAATTTGATGCTGTCTCTGCCTTGTTCAGAATACAAAGCAATGGCAAGAAAGGTTCGGACTACTGATTTGTGAGCAGATTCTCCAGAAATAATGCAATGGAGTGGCTTTGTGGAATATTTCTCAGGAATTGTTTGAATACATCTACTCCCAGAACAATCCACAGATATGAGGAAACTGGTTTCATCATGTCTATATTCAGCAACACTAATGATTACTGCCAGACAAGGTCAAATTTTTCATCATCTTATCATGAAATATTGACCTGGTACATTTGTGAAAATAGCAGAATTGTGAAGTGAATGCGTAAACCGTCCTATATTTCATTGAACAGCTAGCATCAAGCTACATGATATGGGCTACAGCTCATGTAAAAGTGGAAGCTTGTGTTAGCATCAGTTCAGCACAGGAAGTGATTTGCATGGCCTAAGGGCCATCTCTTCTCGAGGGAAAAATCAATTGCAGATAATGATTTAGTCTGATGAGTTACCCTATCTAGCAGATGATAGTAGTAGATGAGATAATTAACAACCTCAGCAAAGGTAAAGCATCCAGTATGGATGGCTTAATGCAGGGATTGTGAAATTGCTATGGGATCATGACATATCCCAGACACCCTTCTTGAGATATGCAACAACTGTCTTAAGCATCGGATTTTTCCAACGGTCTGGAAGTCTGCAAAAATAGTGCCTATCTCTAAACTTGGTAATATAGGTAGCCCTTTGTTTACGCCGCAGTTCCGTTCCTACAAAAGCTGGCACAAATCGAATTGACATAAAATGAACCCATATTTACAAATAACTAATTAAAAATTTGTTTGCAAACTTTTAAAAGTTGAAATCGTAATTTATTAGAATGTTCACTTCAAAATAGCTAAATAGGTCAGTAAGAATCTGTAATTTAAATGTTTAAAACATTACTACACAACATAAAAAATTATAAATAGTTACCTGACATTTACAGTAAAATGCTGGCACCAACTTGTGGTTGGTATGAACTTTTTACATTTTTGTTACGATTTTCCTTGAAAGTACTCTATTGCAAGCATATTTTTCCCTCTCTCTTCTGTTAATTTCTGAAACTTTACTACATAGTTTAATAATTAGTTTAACAGAAATGACATTGAGTAACAGATATCACTGATTTTGGCAAATTTAGGGCTTAAAAGCTGGCAACATTGATCATACGTGTAATAGATATACTGTAGTTATAGTTTTGAAAATCAGTTAAGTAATCCGATAGTTTAACCAATGTTAACTTGCTTATAATTAAAATTTAAAAAGCTGGTAAATTTTAAAAATTTAATTAAATTACTAAAAAATTAAAATAAATTTGATTATCTTTTGTGTGAAACAACAACAAAACAATTATAGTTATGTTGCAAAAGAAAGAGATTTGTAGTTACAATTCTATGCTCTGAACTTCTATATTTTATTAACATATAATTGTAATTTCGTCTGATGCTTATTTCTGTATTTATTTTATTATCTTTAAATTCTATAAGTTTTAAGAATCCCAGTTTTCGTAATACTATGACATCATAGGAATACAAGTGTGAGGTTCCGAAATTGTCCTGGAACTCACTAAACTAGAAAAACTTTAACTATATTGTAAGCATATTTGTACAATAAATGAGTTAAATGGTAAAGAGGTGTGTTTGTCCGTCTGAATCACATTTCCCACATACTTATTAGTCCTTCAATTTTCCTGACATTGGGAGAATTAACTTTATCCTTTTTATTTTCCCAAAGGGAGAGATTTTTTTATTTTTCATCATATCTCACACAAGTGAAACTTGAAGTTTCAAATCTTATGTCCTAATTGATGTTTGAAATTTTGTTAAACCTGAGGAAGGCTATTTAAGATGGCTGAAAGCATTAGTTTGTTTAATTAAAATTTGCTATAAAAGTGAGAAAGATGGTTTGTGATATGATTTGCCATAATTATAAGAATTGTAATTAAGGATTAAAATAAATAAATTTTGTCTGCATTCTTAAGAAAATTTTATGCAAAGACGAAATTTAATGCAAAATTAAATAAATAATAAAATAAAAATTATTCAAAATAATTATTAAGACTCTGGCCTTTACACCGAAACCAAAATCAAAATGGTGGCAATGGAACATTTTTTGAATCAAAAGTATCTTTATTAGCAAAAAGAGATTAACCCTGTTGTGGGGGTTGTACAAAATTAATTATCATTGATGATAACATTTTTTAAAAATAATATTGTGACATTGAGAAGATATTTATACAGTATATTCCATATTAGTTTAATATTAACATAATTAACAATCAATAACAATATTTAGATATTCATAACATTGTATTCAAATAATAATAGTCAAGTTTTACAACAATATCATAAGTTAACTCTTCTGATTTAATTTTCCAACATTTCTGTCGCCTTGATGAAATATTTATATAAATTGTAGAGATCTTTTTTATTCAAATTGTTTAGATTATTTCTATAATCTTGGTGAGTATTATCATTTAACATTTGCGAGACATTAAGAGAGCTGCGTATATTTGAAAGACTTTGACATTCCTGAAGTATATGGTTGATTGAAGATTCTCCTGATTTACACCATGGGCAATAATTATTTGATAAATTAATATATATGTTGTTAATATACAGCAAATATTTGTTGAGTTGTAATTGTGATATTAGTCTTTTCATGTTAAAGTTGATTGTTTTTATCATATAAGGTTGTACAGATGACATTTAAAAAATTTTTATGTACCATGGATGATAAGTATTATGATTTAAACTGCTTTGATTAGTATTTATAGACTGAGAGATGGCTGAGTCTATTAGTGTGGTATATCCAAATGTCCAATCCTTGATACTATCCTTGAATAACAATTCTGATACCTAAAGAATTTATTATTTTGTTAAATTTAGTCTGCCAAAGTTGTATTGATGTTGGTTTTTTGCTACTTTTAATTATTTCATTATGAAGAAAGCTGATATTACTGTCACTTTTAAATTTTAAACGGTAATAGAATTTAATAATTTGTTTTATAAAGAATGGGTATGTGCAGATATAGTTAGTTTCGTGACGAATTGCATAGCCTGGAACAGTTCTTTCTATATGAAATAATATACGGAGGAAATAAATATGGAAAGATTCTAGTTTGTACAAGTAATCAAGTCCCCAGATTGGAGATGCATAGTATATGATTGGACTAATAATTGAATTATAGAGCTTCATATGGATAGTTAAGTTAGAAATTTTTAGTTTAGAATATAAATATAACAGATTACCTATGGCAGTTTTTACCTTGTTGTCTAAGTATGAGAGATGTGATTTAAATGTATGGTTCCAGTCAAATACAACACCCAAATAATTAACTTCATTTACTGTCTGCAGTGGTTTCTTATCTAGATATAGCACAGTTTCTTTTTTGGAGATTTTACTATTGTGGTGGAATATAAGAACTTTAGTTTTGGCAGAGTTTATAGTTAAATGAATTGATTTTAGATAAGAATTTAACTGAT